CTTCCTATTATTGCTTATACTCTCTCTACAACAAAATTAGAGATAAGGGCAAAATAGTTTCTGCTGGGTATTGAGGGGGGGGAGGGGAGGGGTGGAGTGGGTGGTAAGGGAGGGGTGGGGCAGGGGGGAGAAATGAACCAAGCCTTGTATGCACATATGAATAATAAAAAAAATGAAAAAAAAAAATAAAAAATGAATACAGCAAAATATAACAGTGATTCAGCACTTTTATTGTACAGAAATATATCTTAAATTTGCAAGAGCTCACTAAACCATAGCTTGTTTTTTTGGGGGGGCGGGCGGCGAAACAAGGTCTTGCTATAAACTGAGGATGGCCTTGAAATCTGGGTCCTCCTTACTTTACCCTACTGAGTGCTGTGATTACAGATGTGTGTCCCGACACCTGGCTTTATACCATAGCTGTAAAATGTTAATCTTATAGAATCTTTAGGACTTTAGGGAAGGAGCATGTGGTGTGGTAAATGTAAGGAGAAATTTACAAGCAGGAAGAAAGAGGGGAAGATAACTGGAAAGGTTTTCGTTTATTAAGTGTGGATGAGTCTCAGAAGCTTGCAGCTCCAGGTCAGGAATATTGAGCCTCTGCTGCCTGTATATTAAAATTTTCTAGCTTGATAGATATTTAAATCAACATTTTCAGATTGCATACCTTATGAGACACTGAATTGAACACACTAAGCAACCCCTGCAAAGGGAAACCCTGACATATGGCAAGGATTTATTTACTGTGAATTGGGTAGATTCTTGTTTATACAAATAAACATTTTTAATATCAATGATATTTGTAATTCTCATAAACATTATTATCAAATCAACTGTGTCCCTGTAAGACCACTGATGAGAGGCGGGCATTAATGAAATTGAGGGAAAACACAACAGGGCTTTGTAGCTGCACAAGGGCATTACTACAGCCAGGAAGGACTGAGCAACAGAATTTTCCACCCAGTTCATAGAATGACACTAGGAGGCTTTTATCATGAAAGCATTGCCCAGCTGCAGAAAAGAGCTACTCAAACAACAAAGAATCAGAAAGATCATCGGATTTATTCCCAAGGTGGAAAAAAGGCATGATTTTTCAGAGGCACCTTAATTAATGGAAAAACAGGTAATTCTTTGAAAATCCAGCAATAGAGAGAAGTCCACTGCTGAGGATAGGTTTTCCCTACCCACTCTTTAGCTCTTATTAGATGCTGGATTGCTTTATAATCAAATTTTGAACAGACTTGGGTTTGATAATCCACTCAATTAATGAAAGCCTATTCAGCAAAGCATTCTTTACTACTTTTTAATCTTTTTTTCTTTTACCTCCTTTTGTCAACAGAACATGTTTGCTTTTTTGTTTTTTATTTTTTGGCAGCACTGGGGTTTGAATTCAGGGCTTCATGCACAGAACATGTTTCAATATCAGTCCTGGTTCTATTTTCTCCTCAGCAGCTCAGCATATGCCTGGAGGTGGCAGTCCAGTTTATTCATTGCCAGACCAAGTTTTGGGGAGGTGGCGTACAACTTTGAAAACAAAAGTGAACTGACAGTCCCTCTGCTCAGTCCCAGATGAGGCACCCACATATCAGCAGAGGTGGCCTGAGCGCTTCTCATCTGACACAGAAACTTCCTGGAAGGCAGGAACATAGGCACCTGTCTAAAGCCATTGCATCCATCCGCTTGACCACCTATTGGCCAAAAATGCACTAAGCCTCTCTCCCTACAGTACACCTGCTCAAGAAAGAAAAACTAAAGTGGTCCCTCCTCTCACAAAGCTTCCTGATAGGAAGGAATAGAAAAACCAGCTAAGTTTTCTGTTGAGCAATATTAGCATTAATTTGTATGTCTATCCAGTAGAAATTAATAGCAATTCTTTGGCCATTCCATTTAAGCCACCAGCTAGACATTAGCCAATAACCTATCCCTCTTCTAATCTAACACATGTAGCCTCAGGGTAAGAACTCTCACGTCCATCTTCAGAAATGGCCGTTAGAATGAAACCAATCACGTCTGACAACTCATCTACTGGATGCTGTAACAGCTGAGGCCATTTCTTCTTCTTGTACCCAACAAACTTATGATTATAAACAGCCTCACTATAACAAACTGTGGTGAGTCCAGAGGGAAGATTCCAGGAGGCCTGGGGTCTAGCCTGCTTACATAGGACACTGAGAAAAAGAATAAATTATTGTTTTCATTTTATCCATTAAAGAAATAAGAACATCCCAGAATGAAAAGAGCCTCCTGGTTAAGTGAAAGAGGTAGACACACTTGAAATGAAATCACAGCTCGGCACTAAATACCTTTATGAAAACAAATGTTCTTAAACATCTGTGTGCTTTAGTTTCCTCTTTTGGTAAATTAAAGATAATTGTACAAACATCACAGAATGATTGTGAAGATCAAAAGGAATAATTCACATCAAGTTTTAGTGTCCAATAAATGCTAAAAAAAAGAACAACAAAAATCCTTCCACTCATAATATAATTTGCTTTAGAAAAAATAAGGCATACAGACACCATTCTAACCTTCTGCACCAGAATATAAAAAAGATCAGGAAAAGAGATATAAGGAAAAGTGTTTTTAATTCCTACAAGGAAAAATAGTATATATATATTTGTATAATATTATCATATTACAGTCAAGTTCATTATTAGTGCATGCTGACAGATGCTGAGGCTCTGCCCACTGATGTCATCCCTGTAATCCATGGTTACAGGTTACCTCACAGATAGGTAGCCACAGCACTAGAGGACATGGTGAGATGGGAAGGGGGAGGGAGGAGGGAAACCTAAACTCACTTTCAGGAATTACAAACAATACACATGACTCAGAAGTTATAAGGACTGCTGTGCCTTGTGCCTCAATGATGAATTTAAATTCTATTTTTCTTTGTTTTGTTTTGGTAGTTATAAAAGTACTAAACATGCCCTTTCATCTTGAGCCATTCCACATAAAACGAATGTGCAACTCACTGAACTGAGTTCCAGACACAGAGATGGAAACCATGATAAGGAAAGCAGATATGAGAGCTGCAATGAAAGCCTGTGCATCCATTGGAAAGGAACCAAGAAGGAAGAAAAGAAACTTTCTGCATCTGTCTAGACTTCATTTCTTTAGAACTAAGCCTCATCTCCCAGGGCAATTGCGAGAGGGTGATAATTAGGATTAGTTGCAAAGTGGCCACCTGCCAACTCTGTCTCATAATCAACCCTCATGTTCTCCATCTCTCTTATGCCACCATCACTGTCTTCAGCAGCTGAAGATAATGAGATGAGAGACCAAGAAACTAGTTAGCAGGCCATATTAGATTCAGCTGTTCCCCTTCAGGAGGCTTCATCACCAATTCTGAGTGATCATGGTGATTTTAAACTGTCTTCGGCAAATCAGTCTCGCTCACTAATCATTAAAGACACCTCCATAGATAGTGATATTTGGGATGAAAAGTTTTAAAACAATTTTAAGTTTCTCAATCTACTATAATGAGAAAGAGCCACTCTTGATGCAACTAAGAAAAGGGCTTCCAACTTTTTCAGTCTTTAAAATGAGGCAGTCACATATTTGCAATTAAGGACAGTAGGCAGATCTAACAGAACATTGTCTGGTTTTAGAACTGATAGGTCCAAATTGATCCTCACAATTAGAAGCATGAAGTTAAATCTTGATGTCTGAGCAAAGACAGACAGACCCGGACTAAATGGAATATAGTTAACTTAATGCCAAAGACAGACGATCCAGATAAAATCAGCCAGCTATGTTCTTATTTTAAAATCTTCCCTGGTTCACTGAAAACATGGGAAGGAGTCATCTAACAGAGAAGATTTTCCCCATCTGCAGCATGGATGAAGTGAGTGTACCTAATAAAGCTACCTATCCTCTCAAAAAAAAAAGAAAAAGAAAAGGGCTTCCAGTGAGGTATCGCCAGCTTTTGAAAATGTTTTTCAAAAGGACTGTATAACAAAGATTAGCATAGAATTTCCTAAAGTGTGTTAAACATCTTATATGTGGTACATGGATGAAATTCTACAGAATGGTTATATATACTTTACAAGCAATATTTGTTAGGATGAAGTCACAATAAAAAAGTAAATTGAAGGGCTGGATCTATAATCCCAGCAACTCAGGAGGCAGAGATAAGAAGGATCATGGTTGGAGGCCAGCAAAGGCCAAAGGCTATTTGAGACCCTATCTCAACCAGTGTCAGCTAGGCATGGTGACAGGTGCCTATCATCCCAGGCACATGGGAAGCATAAGTGAGAGGATCCTGTTCCAGGCCTGGGCAAAAAATATGACCCCTTATTGAAAAAATAACTAAGCCAAAAGGGCCAGGAGCATGCTCAAGAAGTAGAACATCTGCCTAGCAAGTGTGAGGCTCTGAGTTCACCCCTCAGTACCTCTAAAAAACAAGTAGGTTGACTTAAAGAAAAATGTTAAGTAAAAACTAAAAAATAATAGCACAAACACTCATGGGTACAGCAAAAACATAAGAAGGTGGCATGCCAATGACTCAGAACAGGAAACATTTTCATAGCCCCGAGGCCAAAGACCCCTACAATGACCAACAGGGAGAGCTCTTTCATTCCACTTCAGTGAGCTGATAGAATGGTTAAAGTCACCTCTTTTAATTCATTAATATTATCCTACAATGAGTTCCACATTTCATGAGCTGTTTGAGAAGAACAGATAAGAACAGATTCTTACAGTCATGTTCATGCAGGAGACAAAAGAATCCATTGTAGAATAACCATTTTATGCAGCAGGTCAACAAAAATGGTTCAAAAGTGTCCAATTTGATAAAGAATCCTTTCAGATCAAGGGTGTTTCTAACAAAATATGAAGTCACTACAAAACAGATGCTTAATAAGTGTCTACATAAAAGATTGTGTTTGAATGATAAATATCTAATCATATTCTAACTTTATGAGTATTGCAAAATAATATTATCAGCCAAACCTCACGCACAGGTGCAAGGAAAGTGTAACTCAAGGGATGACACCTACCTTGGGCACAGTCTTCACATGGAAGAGTATATTTTGGAAGGAATGTCCATCATTGGCCTGCAAGACAGCAACATCAGATGTGCTATCTGAGCCATCATGAGCATAGAGGAGAAGGCCCCTGGAGAGCTCATCCAGATGGAACTGATAGAGGGGGGCTGCAGGGGATGCAAGTGTTTGGAGTAACTGGCCATGAAGTGGAGGATCTAGCACTTCGATGATCACATCCTGTGGATTGTCATTGTCCCGGATATCAAGCAGCTGGGTGGTGATGGTTCCTTGCTCTCCTCTGTTAATGTGGAGAACCTCATTTCTCAGCACATAGGGGGCCTGTGGGGTTGAAGGGAAGGTGGGAGAAGAAAATTCATTTAATAGGGAAAGAGAGGGCAATATGGTAGATTAGACACCAATCTGTGCAACCTGATTGACATTTCTATGTCTCTGGAGAAACCCTTAGGTACTATGGCAAAGTGCCAACCTGTTCTATTTTAAAAGTGTTTGTGAGAGGTGCAGTAAGTCATAGTACTGGCATTAACTGAGATTACTTCAACCTCTGTGTTCTAGAACTTTCTAAAGTCACTTCAATATTGGCAAGAGACAATGAGAGTTATTTGCTTCTCAATTTCTAAATTCTCTGCCATCTTGATTTGCACTATATCCCTGCATTAAGGCATTAGAAAGCCCAATTAATGTCTCCAATCTAGAAAGACTAACAAGAAGCATAGAAATTTTGGACTTGCCTTTGAGAGTTAAGCAGTTCACTCTGGGCCACACTGCAACATGCTGACTTCCGTATTCTGAATTCATGCTATTTCTGGTCCTTCCCAGTCATCTTCTTCAAGTTCCCTCATCCAAATCTTGACAGAGTCCCACCCCAGTTCAATCTATAAAGCCTGATAAGATCATGGCCTGGGTGAGTAATGCAACCCCACCTGGTTAATTCTGGTGACACTGCTAATGTAGCAAAACTTAACATGTTTTCCTTGGGACTGTCAAGTTTCCTCCCACAACTTGAGTAAGCAGAAAAAATGTTCTTTTATTTTATTTCATAAAAATAAAAGATAATGAACCACAACAGAAAAAAACTCACATAGACAGAAAATTAGGTCAGAAACCAAAGAATATTGTCTTAGCTTTTTATATTGTTTTAAAGTTGAATGATATAGAATTTTTGTCAACACATTGCCTTCTTCAGTCCAAATGGCTTTCTTTTAAAACTACCCAGAGACTCTCCTGCCTTTCTGGAAATTATTATCGCTATTAGAGAAATATCTAAGTAATACATCATTATAATAATCACACAGTGAGGAAATTAGATTATGGTAGCTACTCCTCAGAATTCCCAAGGGAGAATGCTAAAGCTGGGAGTCTATACAGGGGAATGAATTGATACACACATTCTGAAAGAGGAAAAGTCAAAGGTGATATCAAAATCCATAAATGGAAAATACCAAGTTAACTGACATGAGAAAATCTCAGAGAGGCTCAAGATTATATCCAAATACCACAGAAATTTAAAGGAACAAAAATAAAATTTCTTTCTAAAGTTCTACTTTTAAAAAGTTAAGGTTTATCATATAATAAAATTAAAATGTACATTCACTGTCTGCTTGATTGTGGGAAAACAAATAAAACTCAGGGAACCATGGGAACTCAATATCTCAGATTAGAAGGTTACTCACTAATATCTACCATAGATCTTCATATTAGGCCAAATGAGAAGATCAAAAAAACCATCTGAGCTTGAGTACTAAGGAACATCTAAGCCAGTAAGTTGTAAGGCTGGCCCATATGTACAGAGATCACATGAGTTAGCTTTAATTAAAAAAAAAATTCATACACTTAACTTAGGATCAGTTTCTAATTGCTCCCTCAACTCTAAATTATCCATGATGCGCTAGCATTATTAAGAAGAGTTGAGTTGGGTTTTTAGTACCATTTGACAGCAACTTCTGGTTCAAGTCTACATTGTTATCCATAGTCAGTTTCATTTTTGGATCAATATATAAATATATCAGTTTAAAACAATAACCTAGTGTCCTTCCTTGAATAATGAGTAATATAATACCAAGGTCAGAATATTGAGATAGGCTTCGTTCTTATTATTCCCCAGGATGACATCCTACCCTCTTGCTGGTCACAATTTATGGATTGTGTGTGTGTATGTGTGGTATCTTCCTATTCTCTTTGCATATTTCAGCTTTTCTTCTACCACTGCTTGTATTCTGGGCACACAAGTACAACTTGACAGAGGAGAGTGATGAGAGATGACTGTGAAGAGGCATTCCACTGAGTTTCCTAGCTTCTACCATGATTTCTTCAGATTCATATTTGACTGATGGTCACCCTAACACTTTGTTTAATAAGATCCTCTAACTACTGCAAAGTCTATACCCTAGAGCAAGAAATAGATAAAACAAACTTATTTACCTAAAAATAAGGCAAGTCTTAACAACTGTGACAGCTTTAAGTTATTCTGTGGGACTAACATTGGGCTCAGCCACAGGACAGTAAAGTAAGGCAGCATAAGGTAACAGTTTAGAACACAGACTCTGAAACCTGGGCACAAATCTGGATGGTTTATTAGCTGTATCACCATAGACAGCTCACTTAACCTTGTTGTGCCTTAGTTTCCTCATCTGTAAATTAGGGATAATCATATTTCATAAGGTTGTCATGAAAATCAACTGAGTACCTTATGTGAAACACTAAGTAGAGTACTATAGATGCATTAGTAATTGGAATTACTGATCGTGCTATTACCCTAAGGACTATCCAGTGACAGTTCATGACAAAACTAAAAGATTAATTTAGTTCAATCATTTTTTTTTCTAAAACTGCAAAATCCAAGACATGCTCATGCCTGTAATGTAGCTACTTAGGAGGGGGAGGTTGGGAGAACTGCAGTTCAATACCCACATGGCAAAAAGTTAGGGAGACCCCATCTCAACCAATAGTTGGACATAGTGGCATGTACCTGTCATCCCAGCTACATGGGAAATGTAAATAGGATAAGCATGGTCTAGACAGGCCTGGACCTACATGGGAGACCTTATTCAAAAAGCAGTCAAGGCAAAAACTGGGGCTGTGGCTCAAGTGGTAGAGCACCTCTTTAGCAAGTTCAAACCCCATACTGACAAAAAGCAAAACAACAACAACAAAAAAACCCAAACCCTGCAAAAATCCTCGATTTGTTCTTGAGAATTCATAGGTGTGTAAAATTGTACATGGCTTGGCATTTTTATTACCTGTGTTGAAAATGCTTGTATGTTGATCAGCTGTGGCTCAGAGAAGAACTGCTGGTCACTTATTTTCAAGGAAAAGTAACCTTTCCTAAAGAAGTCCCCAAGAAAGGAATGACAAAATAAAATCATCACATTAGTCTTTAGAAAGATAAGGATTAAACACGTTTTCAGGCTATGCATATACACAAATTTGTGTCAAAGCACAATAGTAATATAATATTCACACTGTAAATAGAAATTACCAAATATGAACACAGTAAGATACAGGTAGAAATACTGTGAGCTCTTAGATCTCATCATTGCACAAAGTAACTTAACACTTTTCTTTCCTTCTTTTCTATTACTTGCCAGACCAAGACAGGTAAGTGATACATAGGCTCACAGTTCAACTGAAGGATAGAAGGGAATCTTTTATAGTCTCTGACCAGTTCTTAGTGGTTTCCTCTCCCCAGCAAGCATTCCCTGCATGCTTTCCCAATTCACATGAGTGGGCCTCAATAACAATGGCTACAATGCTGCATACTTTGTCTCTTACTCCCTAAACCCCCTGCACACATTCACTGTGAACAAGGCTAGGGAAGTATGGCTGATTCTAGAAAGCCAGCAGGCAGTCTCACCATTTGAATATGGGACAACCAGAGACTACCATGTTGATGAGAACAAGGAACATGCCTGCCTGTAGGAGGTGCATGAAGCCTAGAGCAGAGACAAAGGAGGGAAGAGTGGAGACCTGCTTCCATTCCCAGTACTAGTTCTGGACTTGCCCTGAAGCGCAATTGCTCTTAATGTCTTTGAGACATGACATGCTTCTGCAGAGTTATAATAAGCCTTGCTATTTTGCTTATGTAGTTCAAGCTGGCTTCCATTACAGTTGATAATGACATGAGGCTCAGTCTTTGCTGTGAGCTGACAGCCTGTAAAAGGGTGTTGTTCCAGCAGCTTCAGAGACTGTTAGGAGGAAGGTAGAGTTGACCTCCTTCAAAGCCAAACCAAGTCCAGAGCTCACTTCTGACTGGGAAAATGTGTGACTGATGCATTATGGGAGCTTTTGAGTTCTGGCCTATTACAGGGCCCATTGTTTTAAAGTTTCTTTACAAGGTAGTCTTGACACCTAAAAAACTAGCTAGCATTTGTTGCCCTTAACGCAGAGAAACTAAAGCAGATACCTCAAAGCAACTGAGGCCAATAGGAAAAGGGGAACAGGTACTAGAGAAAAGGTTAGATCAAAAAGAATTAACCTAGAAGGTAACACCCACGCACAGGAAATCAATGTGAGTCAATGCCCTGTATAGCTATCCTTACCTCAACCAGCAAAAACACTTGTTTCTTCCTATTATTGCTTATACTCTCTCTTCAACAAAATTAGAGATAAGGGCAAAATAGTTTCTGCCAGGTATTGAGTGGGTGGATGGAGAGGGAGGGGGCGGAGTGGGTGGTAAGGGAGGGGGTGGGGGCAGGAGGGAGAAATGACCCAAGCCTTGTATGCACATATGAATAATAAAACAATAATAAAATAAAATGGGTGTTTCATTGAATGCAACGTATATCTCAAAACACTTGATTTTTCAAAAAAGCTCTTGTCTTCCCTCTGTCCTATCTACTCTTTCATTTTCAGCCCCATTTAAATCCCTTTTCTTTTCACTCCCACCTCCAAGTTTCAAGGTAATGCAATTAAGAGAAACAAGTGAATGAACAGCGAAGGAGAAATGATTTTGGGTGGCACTGTGGTCTCACTAACAGTGCTTAACATCACAGCAATGCTGGGATTTTTTTTTTCTTTTTTCTCTAATTCCTGTTTTTTCCCCCTTCTCCCGCCCCCTCCCTTACTTTCCCAACCCCTCGCTACCAGGCAGAAACTATTTTGCCCTTATCTCTAATTTTGAGCAACACCAGTTTTTCACAGTCACTCTGACTACACTTACAGATTAGCTTTAACTCCACAGAAGAGTCTATCCCAAAGAACTCAGTCCTAAAGAATTCCAATCTTCATCATGACCAGTGTGTTCATGGAAAACAAAATGCAAAACTCAAATTTGTGTGGCAGGCTGCCCCTTTTATTTTTGTATCATTCAAAGACAAATCTATTTTTCTATGAGTTTCTACTCACCTCATTTTACTATTTCCCTCTTATTTCTTCTGTTTGACTTTTTAGATAAAGTCCAGTCTTAAAAAGGGCACCCCTCCAAAAAAAAGAAAAGAAAACAAAAACAAAAAAAAGGTACTGCAAGAATTCCCTAAACTATTATTCTTTTTCCTGATTAGGGAAAAAGAATAATAATAATAATAATTTGTGATTGCAGCAATCACAAATGCAGATGAAGCAGGAATTTTAGGGGAGCCCCTGTGACATGAAATACTAGAGTCTTAAGCTCCATCTCCATAGCAGGACGTCCTTCTCTGTGCAGTGATCTTCCCCCCTCGAGGATGGAAGCCTTCCTATTATCCCTAGAATATTAGGGAGGCAGAAATCACTGTGGCTAAAGGCATGGGTTGGGCATCAGAGAGTGTTTGGTGGGAGTCCAGCTCTGCATTCAGAGGCCGTGAGGTCTTGGGCTAGGTTACTCATACTCTCAAGACCTCAGCCCAGGAACACAACATACATATGTCATGTAATGTGCTTAACACAATGTCTGGCTCAAAGTTAGCACTCAGTAAATGTTAGTTGTTCTTATTCCTGTAATGTGATCTTTTGAGGTTGCTGGCATCATTAACTCTGAATTATAATAAAGAAATGACCACCTATTTTCCTCTCCACCTATCTCTTAGCCTGAACCTCAAAGTCAAACAAACAAATAAATAAAAACAATAAAAACCCCTCAAGTTTAGTGTTGACAGTAGAACATATTCATTGTGTTCACATCACTGTTCTGTGGGATTCAATTCCTTGATCACCCAGATAGTCTGAGGTGGGTGATCTGCACTAACGACGCAGAGGAGGGTAAAGGAGAATCCAAGAGGCTAATCTTTGGGGTGCATTCTCTGATTTTCTTTAGTAGATTTATTCATGAGTACAGGGGTATCATTGCTTGGGTTAATGTTAATGTTCAAATGCATTCCTGAAACACATGTCAGCTAGGGTGGGGAAAACAGCCCCAAGTGTATGAAGCATGAGGGAATACTGGATCAGGCTTAGAAATTAACCACAATTATCTCATAAAGAGGATAATAGAAAGTTAGCTGTGACTCTGAGTTTCCTTCCAACTCTGAAATTCTAGGGACCTCACCACACCTTGAAAAGCATGTCCTCCATCTGTTATCAGCCCCCTACTCCCTGTGCATTACCCACACGTGGAGGAGGCAGCTTTAGCATCTGGCTATATAACCAGTTTTGTTTCTGCTGGGCCAAAAATCTGGGAAATTACACTAGGAATTTTCCTGTCACATCAGAGAATTACCCATAATTATGTGATAAAATAAAAATGCCTCAAACAGAAGCACACTCTCTAAGCAATTACAGGGAAATGATGACAGGCAGCTGAAGGCAGTTGTGGAGTATTGATCTTCCCCAGACAAGAAGGGACAGCTATTAAGAAAGAGTGGTGGGGAGGGGAGGGGAGAGCAATGATGGAAAAGAGTCAGGGGGAAAACATCACTGACTCACCTGAGTTTTTCTTTGCTGTGTACAAAACGCACTTTCTTCTCGTTCACATCTTTCCAGCTAAAATGGCCAGCCTTGTCCAGCTGAGTCTCTTTGCCATTTTTTGAGAGCACCAGTTGACCATTGGTGGGAGTGCTCACCACATGGAATAAGAGATCTTCCACTCTGCCATCCTGGTGTTGGACATTCAGGAGAGCAAAGTCCAGCAGCTTCATCGAACCAATGGCAAGAGTCAATGAACCATTCACGTGAAGACTCGGGGTGTGTATTTTGCCTAAAAACATGAATTCAAAGGTCAGGCTTGTCACACTCACTAATTAGGTCTTATTAATTTTAAAGAAATAGGCTTGTAATGTTAATTGAGAGCTGCACAGAGAAGATTCTAGGCTATTATATAACCAGTGAATCTCCCTATGTTGTCTCATATTATTCTCACCCAATGGAAGAGTTAAGCTGTAAAACTGTAAAAAGAAAATATAGGAGTAGATTTCTGTGAATTTGAATTAAGAAATACTTTCTTAAATATGACACAAAACCACAAATGACAACATTAAAAGAACAGATTAGTTGGATGTCATTAGAATTAAAATCTTTTGTGCTTCAAAAGACCAATGTTAAAAGACAACCCACAGAATGGGAGAAAATATTTGAAAATCTTATATCTGAAAAAAGGACTTGTATCCAGAATTTATAAAGAGCTCCTATGACTCGACAATAAAAAAAACAACTCAATTTTTCAAATGGGCAAGAATTTGAACAGACATTTCTCCAAAGAAGTTACACGAAGAGCCAATAAGCACAATAAACATGTACAACATTAACCATCAAGGCTGGCGAAAGGCAAATCAACACACAATTAAGTATCATTTCACTTCTAGTAGGAAAGATAAGAAAGTGTCAGTAAGGATGGAGAAGTTGGAACCCACATGCATTGCTGACAGGTGTATAAAATGATTCAGTCACTTAGAAATATAGTTAGGCAGCTGCTCAATTAAATATAACTTCCATAGGAACCAGATAATTCCACTCTTAGCTACACAACTAGGAAAAATGAGAAAATGCGCCCAAAGACTTGTCTGTGAATATTAATACCAGCATTGCTTATAATCAAAAAAGTAGAAACAATGCAAAATCCATTAGTTCATGAAAAGATAAACAAGGGCTGGGGAATGTCACTCAATAGTAGAAAGCCTCACTGGCATGTGCAGGCTAAATCCTCAAGATGGCAAAAGAATAAAAAAGGTGAACAGGTAAGTAAGGTGTGATATAATAGATCCAAACAATAATACAATGTAGTATTCATCCATAAGAAGGATAAGAAATAAAATACTGATACATGCTACAACATGGATGAACCTGGAAAATATTTATTATGCAAAGTAAAAGAAGCCAAACACAAAAGGCTGCATATTATGACTCCATTCATGTACAATGCCTAGAATAGGGAAATCCATACAGACTGAGAGTAGATTAGTGGTTGTCATAGGAGCTGGAGTGAGAGGAAAAGGAGCAGTCTGCTAATAGTTATGTGGTTACTTTTCAGGTGGATAAAAATGTGCTGGAATTAGATATTGGTGATGGTTATACAACTTTGTGAATATACTAAAAATACTGTTACATACTTTATAGGGTAGATTTTGTGGTATGTGAATTATATCTCAATAATAATAATAATGAAGAATCATATAGGTATATTTTAAAACTACATTGAACCTTGGGGTCTACTGACAGAGATTCTGACTTAAGCTATTCTGGGATGGACCTCATTAATTTTACAGTCCCAGGTAATTCTAATGGGATGGCAGGTTTGAGAACCCACACACTTATCCTGATGCATCTGTTATGTCAGATCCACCAATGGTAAGAAAAGAGGCAGGTGTCTGGTATCATTTCCTATAAGAGTATCCATTAATCTACAATGAAGAAGGATTATCAGCAGCTCATATTTAGAATTCATGGGAAAAATAGACACTTTTTTTCAAAGTTTATAATCTCTGTCCATATGAAACACCTAATAGATGAATTAGGATTTCCCATCATGATGTAGAACTCGTTTCTTTTGCCAAAGTCATTAATTGGCAGTGTTCCCTTCTATAACTAGATCAGACAAGACAGTTTGGGAATGCCAAATTTCACAGGGACAATTTTTACCATAAGATTGCACTAATGAAAATGGAATCCATTTTCACAAGTTGACGTATATTATGTCCCAAAAACAGTAAGCTATTTCTCAAGTACTTGTGGTCTCCGGAAAGATCATAATAAAATAAGTCAAAGATACATTTTTTTTACTTAGAAAAAAACCTTTATATCTTTAGAGACCAGAAATGTAGAGACAGAATATATGATTGACTGTGGTTGCCTCATGTGCTAGGCGCCTGCAGCTCACGCCTGTAATCTTAACTACTTGGAAGGCTGAGATTAGGAAGATTGCTGTTTGAGGCCAGCCTGGGCAAATAGTTCCCAAGACCCATCTGCAAAATAACCAGAGAAAAATGGATTGGAAATGTGGTTCAAGAAGTAAGCATCTGCTTTGTAAGTGCTAAGCTCTAAACTCAAACCCCAGTCCCACCAAAAAAAAAAAAAAAGTGCCTCATGTTATTGATGAACAACACTGCAAAGCCAACACTCATCCATAAGGCAACTACTCAGCTTTGTCCACCTATAACACTTTTGGGGTTCAAAATTAGGACTGAATTTAAATTTGTTTATCTCTTTATTGTTTAAGGTACAGTGTTCGTTGTGTGTTGGGTGAGACAAGTGCCATTCCTTTAAGATGTTACCTTTTACATAATGGTAAACAGAGTGATTCAAAAATCTATGTGCTTTAAACACAAGAACCTAGTGGAGCAGTCTCCATCACTATTCACTGTGCAATTAAAATCTATCTCCACTGTATGCAAAAAAGAAGTACCATCACACTTTGCATAATTAGCTGTACAAGTTTATATGACTACAAATCAACACGTGTATGTAAGTATATATGTAATTTTCTATAATATGGCTGCAGTTCAAGAACATAGCTGAGTTTATGCCAAATTTCTTATCTGATAGTTGTGACTTTCAAACACACATCACTTCTTTTTTTTTTCCTTCCAAAGATCATAGAAGTTGACTTTTCTATAAACAGTCCATTATTCCTTAGTTGCACCAGGAATTTTTCTCATAATAGGAATGCTGCACTATGAATCACAGGAGTCCATTATATCTATAAGCCCAGCCTTTGCACAGAGAAATCACTGGGAAATTCACCAGGGCATCAGAAGAGAAGCTCTTACCAGCACATGTTGCATTAGATGAGTGGGCAGAGAAGCCAGGAACACAGCTGGAAACACAGAGGCCACTCTTCAGAAAGAACCCCTGGGCACAGATGTGACACCGGTCCTTGTGGCTGCACTTCAAGCACTCCTGAGAGCATGCTATCACAGAGAGGACACAGTAAGTGAGGCATGAACAAAGCTAGACACCCAGCTGGGGCCACTAGGGAAATAAAAGGACTACAACCAGAAGAATTAGAGCATAAGCAACAAATGTTCCCCAGCTGCAACAAGAGAATTCTGACGGTTTCTCTGTAGAGCTTCATGGTGAGCTGATCTACCCTCAAGAAGAAACAGAACAGAGAGGGCACTCTCCACTCTCCACACAATATTGCACATGGATGAATTGTTTAAAAAGTTAACTATATCAAATTGTAAGAAAGGACGTTTATCGTGATGAAGAGCATAGGTCTTTTTCTGGGTACCACACCTTCTTTACCACTTACCAGCTGTGACCTTGGGTGAGTTCCTCTAACAATCTGTGCTGTAAATAAGGATGGTAACAGCACCCATTTCGAGGATTGCATGTGTTACAATGTGAAGTGACTAGGACAGAAAGGTCTCAATTGTCCTACTATACCACTTCTTACTCATATCATCGTCATTGTTGTCATCGTTGTTGTGGTACTGGGGTTTGAACTCAGGGCTTTGCCTTTGCTAGGCAGATGCTCCACCATTTGAATCATGCCTGTAGCTGTTATTCTGCTCTGGTTATTTTGGAAGCAGGATTTCACTTTTTGCCCAGGCTGGCCTGGACGGTGATTCTATTTTAACCTTTCTGCCATTGCTGAAATGACAGTGTATGCCACCATATCTAGCCTTTATCCATTGAAATGGGGTTCTGCAAAACTTTTTTGCCTGGGCTGACCTGGAACCAAGATCCTTCCAATCTCAGCCTCCTATGTAGCTTGGGATGGCAGACCTGTGCCACTGAGCCCAGTTATTGGCTCACAAACTTTCTGCCCAGCTGGCCTAGAACACAATCCTTCTGATCTTAGACTCTCAAGTAGCTAGGATTAGAGATGTGAGCCACCGGCACCTGGCTCTTATTGTTAATATTACTCTATAAGTAGTGGTATTTTTCTTTTTTGTGTATGATGGGTACTGGGGATTGAACCCAGGGCTTTTCACTTGATAAGCAAGCACTCCACCAACCCTTTCATTTGCATTTTGTTTTTGAGATAGGGTCTCAAACTTCAGATCCTCCTGCCTCTGCCTCCCAAATAGCTGGAATTATAGGCGTGTACCACCTTGTCCAGCTGTGGTAGTATTTTAAATGCATAAGGAGAGCCCACTCTTTAAAGAACTTTAGGATTATTTCTTTGGGTCAAGTTAATAATATTCTATGGCCTGAGTGCCTCCTGGCTAATTGTTCAGCTTCTTCAGGTGGGATTTTATTATAGTGTGGCTACATAGTATAGTTTAAAGGGCTTTGGATTAGAATCAGAAATCTTGGAATTAATATTTGATTGTGTTTGCCTTCACACTTTTAAGTCTTTTTTTTTCGTTTGTAAAGCTGGATTTGTAGTATCTGCCATATTTTACCAAGTCATTGTGAATATTAAATGAGATAATACAGATGAAGAAAATTTGGTGAAACAAAAAAAATGTTAAGCCTAGTTAATGGCATTATTATTAAATGTCAGTTATCCTTTCAGGCAGAGTCACATGGTACCAAGTTTTGAAGAAATAATGAGGACAATTGGGAAATTTTCTTGGGTGAACCAGTAGACAAGAAGATAAGACTCTGGGTTTACCTTTAGTTTAATAATAAAATCTCCACATGTCTCACTAAATTATTTCCCCAAATCCTATTCTTCAAGTATATAATGCCAATATCAGGGACAGAGGTGATTTAGTCTACACACAGAAAATTATATGTCCGTATCAATATGGCTGATCTGCTCTAAATGGATACCTCACTGCAGTTCAATATGAGCTTTACATTCCATAAAATACTGGCTTTGTTTCCATACAGACCTCTAGGGACAATATTGATTTGTACAAGAGAATTATTGGGCTGCACTCTTATATCCTATTTAACCGCATTTTGGCAGAAGTGCATGGGAAGCTATCAATTACTTAGGCCAAGCTCCCTGGGTTTTCACTCTGCTTCTGATTTAGATGCTCTTGGTTACCTGAAGACCAGCACACATGACTTATGGCTGCCCTTGCTTCTTCACAGAGTGCTCAGCACTGATTCAAGTTACCTATGCATTTGCGCTTTGCATGATCTGGAAAGTACCCCTTCCCACATTCCTGGACACACTGGGCTTTTAAGAGGAGAAATGGCTCTTCACAGCGGGTGCACTCATGGAGACCTTGGCACTGGAGACAGTGGCTGTCACAATCTGAAAGACAAAAGTCAAGTCAACAGGAACCTGTGGAGCTTTCTGAGGGGGATCTGGGCTCTTACAGAAGGCAGAATTAGAGGTCAAGGGGCAATATAATCTGGTGAACTGGGCAAAGCACTCAATGAGGAGTCAGAGAGCCAGGTTCTGGTTGTGGCTACTACACTTACCAGGGGAGGGCTTGGGATTAGTTACTCTACCTCTGTGAGCCTCAGTTTCCTCCCTATAAAACAGGAGTGGAAATACTATCCTCAGCACCTCCCTGGATGAGGGTCAGATTAAACAATGGAAAATACTGATAAATTCTAAAGTGATCAACAGATGTGAATGATTATTATTATTAACCAAACCTTGGCTGTCAGTGTGGCTCTTTCCTGACTTTTCAGTCAACTATCAGCCTCTCAGGAATGCTCCTAAAAATGCTCTTTATTGTACATGGATTACAGGGTCTGAGGATTTTGTGTTAGGAAATTGAGGCTAAAGAGGTACTGGGGGCCAAAGAGAGGTGAGGGCAAGGTATATGGCAAACAGAGAGATGAAGGGACCAAATGACAGAATAATATGGACTCTGTATTCAAATGTCTAGGTACACAGACCTTTCCTTCTAGAGAAAAGGAGTATTCAATTTTTAAGGACATCTAAAAGGAATAGCTAACACATATCTGTTTGTGTGGCCATATAACCCTGAAATTGCCATCCTGTCATCAAATTTTAGCATGTCATATTAGGGCAAGGGAGAAGAAAAGCAACAAATTGTCATGACCACAAAGATAGCTCTTAGGAAAGAAACTAGCATTGGGTAAAAAGCCTGAAGGAAATTTGTCACAGGCTCCATCTCAGAAATCAGACCAAGAGTTGGTGAGCACAGTGTGGGGCCTCTAGACACGTACTCTTGCAGAGGCCAGAGTCCCGGTAGAATGTCGGCGAGCACTGCTCCACACAGGTGCCATCCTGGAGAACGTAGCCATCCATGCACTGCAGGCAGTCTGTTCTCAATGGCCCGCTGCAGGCATTGCAACTCCAATCACACTCTAGAAAGAAAGTCTGAATTAGCTCTGTGTTAGTCCCAGCAAGAAACTTATGAGGATGCTGACTGCAGCTGCCAGGGGTAAAGTAAGGACAACATCCGAGATGTCAGATAAGTGAGCTGTAATGAGGCCTCTGCTTGCAGTAGCTTGGATGCTTGTCTGAGGGTTAGTGTTTCCTCACTATGTCAGACACGGCATGGACAAGGAGCACTCTAAGCTTGTGCAGAGCCTACTTGTCAGCAGGGTTGCCAAAGAGCCAGATCCACTTGGTCTTATTCCAGAGGCCTGTGCCACACCAAGTTGTCCTGCAAAGCCTGCCATAGGGAGTGGCCAACTTGCCTCCTCACCTAATCCTGACTTCCTCCAAATGCTCAGTGCTTAATAGGTAACGAGACGTCAGAGACCCAACTAAGAACACATCCACTGCTGCCACTGACATCAGCAACACAACATGCTTCTTACCTCCCAAAAAACCAGACATTAACCAAAACAATAGAAAGGAACCAATGACATTAGGCTTAAAGGAACATCCAGAAAGAAAGGCTTTCTAAAAAAATGGAAGGAAGACCTCATTTAGGGCAGGGAAACTGACTTGTTTGCATGTTCCTTTGTTCAACATGCACCCAGGTGCATGTCACCACATGGAGACAATATGAAGTGGGAGGTGGAGACCTGCCTTCAAGGACCGTGAGCGGTAGTGATGCCCAACCCTGGGTAACACAGATAACCCTGGGGAATGTCAGAAATGCAGACATCGGGCTGAACATCAGACTTATTGAGTCAGAGTCTCAGAGTTGGGGGCATAGGAAAATTTCCTATTACTGCTACTTAGTAGAGCTATGTTGATGCTGTTCTTAATGACCCAGGCCATTCTAATGCAATTAGAAAATCTATGTTTGAGAGATACTGTTCTACCTGGCAAGATAAATCTTCCAAACTAGAAGATGGGAGGGACAGCATGGTTTGTAAATGAGGTTTGCTACTTTTTATTTGCAGTATCTTACACACTTTCCTTAAATGTTTTGGCCTGAATAAAATATAGATAACAACAATAGACATTTCATAAGGGTAGTGTGAAAAGTAAGTGAAATAATGAAGGCAAAGAGGAAGGAAGGAAGGAAAGAAGGAAGGAAGGAAAGAAGGGAGGAAAGAAAGAAGGGTGAGTGGGAGGTAGGGGAAAGAAAGAGAGAGGGAGAGAAAAAGGAGGGGAGGAAGAAAGAGGGGAAGGAGGGAGAGAGGGAGGAAGGAAGGAAGAGAAAGAAAGAAACAAACAAAGGAAAAGAATTTATGCAGTATTTGGCATACAGTAACAGCTCAATAAAGGGTTATCGCTGCTGAAACTATTCTTTTTGTTGTTGTTTTGATGCTATTTTGAGACAGGGCTTCCCTATGTAGCCCAGTGTAGCCTTGAACTCTCCTTCTTCTTGCCTCAACCTCCTTCCTGGGTGCTGGGATTAGAGAAATGTACCTCTATGCCCAGCTCTGAACACATCTCTATTCAGATCTGTCTCAATCCCACTTTCCTACCTTGCTAAGAAGCTGGAGAAACTTCACAACAGTCATCTTTTCTCTTTCTTGATGCAATATTTCTAAGTTCCAAAGTACCAGGTAAACATGCAAGATAGTACACGTGCCTCCAAGAAGGTTTACGAAGTTAATCTTACTCATTTATTTGGCTGAATCAGTCCTGAGGGAAAATGACTAACAGAGAGCCTTGAAAACTGCCAGCATAGTCATGAAATCATTTACAACAGGGAGGATTTGTGATAATCTTGTTTTTCACCACAAACTGACAGTCCCTGGTTAGAAGGAAAAAAATAGCAAAGCTTCTGTGGTCTGGAGCACAGCAGACCACCTAGGTTGACAAGCAAGTAGAATTTCTTGGAATGAAAAGTCTGCGATTTTGCAGAGCCTTCGCTTCCCAAGTTTACTTGACAGATGTTTGACCTCTATATCAGAGAGCCAGCTTCTCTTATAGAACTGGAGGGATAGAAGGAAATATGCAGAGACAGGAACAAAGACAGGAAAGGGAACAGAATCAAGTACAACCTGTTCCTAACTCTTTTCCCCTGGCTGAGCACAGTCCTTCAGAGCATAAACTCCAAGAATTCCATCCTCTGGAGAACAAGGGAAAAGACACTTGGTTTTTAACATTTTCTCTTTATAAATTCCTTGAGGACACAGAGTGTAACTTCTCTTATTTGAGTATGCTAAACACAGATGAACAATTCAGATGCAAACCCTAGCCTCATTAAACTTAGGACCTAGAAACCTAGTGTGTAAATGTAAACTCCTACAGGACCTAGGAAAGTAAGTGGACCTTGGAAGTAGGCCTGGTGGGATAGAATAGGGAATGGTGGGGACTGTGGTGAACTAAAGAGATCATGCTCCTTGCAGTAGGCTCCCTTCACAGTCGAATCTACTGTTGTGTTACAGTAATACAAATCCAATATTGTCAGATCTTCTGGGTTTTGTTTGTTTCAAAAGAAACGACAAATCTCAATTTTAGTACGTGAAGTCTTCCAATTTATAAAAGAGAAATAATCTGAGATTATAAAATGTCAGGTGGGCCAAATAAAGCATGTATGAGTCAAATACAACCTGGGGGATTCTGCTTTGCCACTCCTAGTCTAGTTACCAATACCTGACACAATGTCTGGCACATAGTAGGTGCTAAAATTTTTACTTAATAAACAAGTAAATGAATGAACAAGTGAATATATACATACATCATTATTGCTATCACCAGAGAAAGTCAAAACATTTAATGAAGGTATTTCTCCAAGGTGGGGGACTGGGCACCTACAGTAAAAAACTGTCAACACACCCAATTACATCAAACATACCCTGAAAGACCTAAAAGCATATATAAACACCAACACAGTAGTTGTGGGAGACTTTAACACCCCATTATCATCAATAGATAGGTCATCCAAACAAAAAATCAATAAAGAAATCCAAGATCTAAAATATGCAATAGATCAAATGGACCTAGTAGATGTCTACAGAATATTTCATCCAACTTCTACACAATATACATTCTTCTCAGCAGCCCATGGAACCTTCTCCAAAATAGATCATATCCTAGGGCACAAAGCAAGTCTCAGCAAATATAAGAAAATAGAAATTATACCGTGCATACTATCTGATCACAAAGCAGTAAAAGTAGAACTCAACAATGAAAGTAAAGAAAAGAACATGCAAACAGCTGGAAACTAAGTAACTCATTACTTAATGTAGAATGGATCATCGATGAAATAAAAGAGGAAATTAAAAAGTTCCTGGAAGTCAATGAAAATGAAAACACAACGTACCGGAACCTACGGGACACAGCTAAGGCAGTCCTGAGAGGAAAGTTTATAGCCATGAGTGCATATATTAAAAAGACAGAAAGATCCCAAATCAATGACCTAATGATACATCACAAACTCCTAGAAAAACAAAAACAAGCAAATCCCAAAACAAATAGAAGGAGAGAAATAATAAAAATAAGAGCTGAAATCAACAAAATAGAAACCAAAAAAACCATACAAAGAATTAATGAAACAAAAAGTTGGTTCTTTGAAAAAATAAACAAGATCAATAGACCCCTGGCAAACCTGACTAAAATGAAGAGAGAAAAAACCCAAATTAGTAGAATCAGGAATGCAAAAGGGGAGATAACAACAAACACCATGGAAGTCCAGGAAATCATCAGAGACTACTTTGAGAACCTATATTCAAATACATTTGAAAATTTTAAAGAAATGGACAGATTTCTAGATACATATGACCATCCAAAACTGAACCAAAAGGAAATTAATCACCTGAATAGATCTATAACACAAAATGAAATTGAAGCAGCAATCAAGAGTCTCCCCAAAAAGAAAAGTCCAGGACCTGATGGATTCTCTGCTGAATTCTAGAAGACCTTTAAAGAAGAACTGATACCAACCCCCTTAAACTGTTCCACGAAATAGAAAGGGAAGGAAAACTGACAAACACATTCTATGAAGCCAGTATTACACTTATCCCAAAACCAGGCAAAGACACCTCCAGAAAGGAGAACTACAGGCCAATCTCTTTAATGAACATTGTTGCAAAAATGCTCAACAAAATAATGGCAAACTGAATTCAACAACACATCAAAAAGATTATTCACCACAACCAAGTAGGCTTCATCCCAGGGATGCAGGGGTGGTTCAACATACGAAAATCAATAAATGTAAGAAACCACATTAACAGAAGCAAAGACAAAAACCACTTGATCATCTCAATAGATGCAGAAAAAGCCTTTGATAAGATCCAACATCATTTCATGATAAAAGCTCTAAGAAAACTAGGAATAAAAAGAAAGTACCTCAACATTATAAAAGCTATATATGACAAACCTACAGCCAGCATTATACTTAACGGAGAAAAATTAAAACCATTCCCTCTAAAATCAGGAACCAGACAAGGATGCCCACTATCTCCACTCCTATTCAACAAAGTACTGGAATTCCTAGCCAGAGCAATTAGGCAAGAAGAAGGAATAAAAGGAATACAAATAGGTAAAGAAACTGTCAAAATATCCCTATTTGCACACGACATGATCCTATACCTTAAAGACCCAAAAAACTCTACTCAGAAGCTTCTAGACATCATCAATAGCTACAGCAAGGTAGCAGAATATAAAATCAACATAGAAAAATCATTAGCATTTCTATACACTAACAATGAGCAAACGGAAAAAGAATGTATGAAAACAATTCCATTTACAATAGCCTCAAACAAAATCAAATACATAGGTGTAAACCTAACAAAAGATGTGAAAGACCTCTACAAGGAAAACTATACACTTCTGAAGAAAGAGATTGAGGAAGACTATAGAAAGTGGAGAGATCTCCCATGCTCATGGATTGGTAGAATCAACATAGTAAAAATGTCGATACTCCCCAAAGTAATCTACATGTTTAATGCAATTCCCATCAAAATTCCAATGACATTCATTAAAGAGATTGAAAAATCTACTGTGAAATTTATATGGAAACACAAGAGGCCACGAATAGCCAAGGCAATACTCAGTCAAAAGAACAATGCAGGAGGTATCACAATACCTGACTTCAAACTATATTACAAAGCAGTAGCAATAAAAACAGCATGGTACTGGCACAAAAACAGACATGAAGACCAGTGGAACAGAATAGAGGACCCAGATATGAAGCCACACAACTATAACCAACTTGTCTTTGACAAAGGAGCTAAAAATATACGATGGAGAAATAGCAGCCTCTTCAACAAAAACTGCTGGGAAAACTGGTTAGCAGTCTGCAAAAAACTGAAACTAGATCCATGTATATCACCCTATACCAAGATTAACTCAAAATGGATCAAGGATCTTAATATCAGACCACAAACTCTAAAGTTGATACAGGAAAGAGTAGGAAATACTCTGGAGTTAGTAGGTATAGGTAAGAACTTTCTCAATGAAACCCCAGCAGCACAGCAACTAAGAGATAGCATAGATAAATGGGACCTCATAAAACTAAAAAGCTTCTACTCAACAAAAGAAATGGTCTCTAAACTGAAGAGAACACCCACAGAGTGGGAGAAAATATTTGCCAGCTATACATCAGACAAAGGACTGATAACCAGAATATATAGGGAACTTAAAAAACTAAATTCTCCCAAAACTAATGAACCAACAAAGAAATGGGCAAGTGAACTAAACAGAACTTTCTCAAAAGAAGAAATTCAAATGGCCAGAAAACACATGAAAAAATGCTCACCATCTCTAGCAATAAAGGAAATGCAAATTAAAACCACACTAAGATTCCACCTCACCCCTGTTAGAATAGCCATCATCAGCAACAAGACCAACAACAGGTGTTGGCGAGGATTCGGGGAAAAAGGAACCCTCTTACACTGCTGGTGGGAATGCAAACTAGTACAACCACTCTGGAAAAAAATTTGGAGGCTACTTAAAAAACTAAACATTGATCTACCATTTGATCCAGCAATACCACTCTTGGGGATATACCCAAAAGACTGTGACACAGGTTACTCCAGAGGCACCTGCACACCCATGTTTATTGTGGCACTATTCACAATAGCCAAGTTATGGAAACAGCCAAGACACACCCCACCACTAACGAATGGATTAAGAAAATGTGGTATCTATACACAATGGAATTCTATGCAGCCATGAAGAAGAATGAAATGTTATCATTCGCTGGTAAATGGATGGAATTGGAAAACATCATTCTGAGTGAAGTTAGCCTGGCCCAGAAGACCAAAAATCGTATGTTCTCCCTCATATGTGGACATTAGATCAAGGGCAAACACAACAAGAGGATTGGACTTTGAACACATGATAAAAGCGAGAGCACACAAGGGAGGTCTGAGGATAGGTAAGACACCTAAAAAATTAGCTAGCATTTGTTGCCCTTAATGCAGAAAAACTAAAGCAGATACCTTAAAAGCAACTGAGGCCAATAGGAAAAGGGGACCAGGAACTAGAGAAAAGGTGAGATCAAAAAGAATTAACCTAGAAGGTAACACCCACGCACAGGAAATCAATGTGAGTCAATGCCCTGTATAGCTATCCTTATCTCAACCAGCAAAACCCCTTGTTCCTTCCTATTATTGCTTGTATTCTCTCTACAACAAAATTAAAGGGCAAAATAGTTTCTGCTGGGTATTGAGGGGGTGGGGGAAGAGGGAGGGGGCGGAGTGGTGGTAAGGGAGGGGGTGGGGGCAGGGGGTAGAAATGACCCAAGCCTTGCATGCACATGTGAATAATAAAATAAATAAATAAATAAAATAAACATTTAAATGAATGAACAAGTGAATATATACATACATCATTATTGCTATCACCAGAGAAAGTCAAAACATTTAATGAAGGTATTTCTCCAAGGTGGGACTGGGCACCTACAGTAAAAAACTATCACAGAGTTAAAGAAACCTTACACCATCCAGGAAGGGCTTTACCTTTGCACATCTTGGTGGAGATGTCAAGATAGTACTGTGGGGCGCAGCTCTCAGACTGGCACTCCCCAAAGAGCAGGACCTTGTTTGGATCTCGACAGGAGGTACAGCTGGCTTGTGAATCACAGCTCCGACAGTGTGTGTTGCATGCTGAGCAGTTAAGAAAAGAAAATGACCAGATGATTACAATTGCAAATAGGGAAGCAGTGATCAAAGTTGGACAGGTGCTACACGGGAACGAAGTCCTCCTCCAACCTGTGCTTTCAGAAGGCTCACAGACCTCCTGTGAGCAACAAAACGAAGTATTAGTTTTCTTTTCCAAAATAAAAAAGGGTGATCTTGTTTTTCCAAAGATGGAAATCCCACATACACCCAGATTATCCTGGAATTCAGCAACAGAACAATACTTAGTACTTTAAGACCAGTAGTCCAGAGTTTTAATATAACCTCACTTCTTAAGGAACCAAGATTCTAAGTTCATGATGTAGATTTGGAATTTGTGTGTGTGTGTGGGGGGGTGTTGTGCCAAGATTTAAGTTAGGTACCAGCTTTGCTGTGGAGCTGGCAAAATCCCTTGTTTTAAGAAACAGGATTTATATGTGACCTGGTTTATTCTCTTGCCCAGTTTAAATTCAACCAACCAGGTAATCCAGGTCTTCACAGATGAGTCCCAAACAACTGGCATTTCTCCATCTACTCAGTTGCTCATGCTGGAAACCTTGGAGTCTATCCTGACACCTTCCTTTCTTTCATTCCAAATCTAGTCACTCACTGGATCTTATTTATTGAAACTCACCAACCTAACTTTTGGAGCATTCTTTTTCTCCATATCATCAATGGGAATACCTCCAAGCTGTCACCATCCCCTGCTGGATTGCTATCATAGCCTCCTAACTGTTTTCCCCATCTCCACTTTGACCCCCTTGCAACCTACTTAACATACATTTACCAAGGTAACTTTACTCACTAATGCTGAGGCTCAGAGTGCGTGTCCCCCTACAAACTCAATGTCTATCTTCAGTCCTGGAAAGTTTCTGATCATCTTGTCTACAAAAAATTACTCTTTTACCTTAAAGGATACAAGCTGTATGCTTCCTGAAAGCAAAGACCAGTTTTGTTTTGTTCCTTGAAATATTTCCTAGTACCTACCTACTTTTCTATGACATTGTAATGGTTCAATAAACATTTTATACATAAATGAAAGAAGCCAAATATCACACACACACACACACACACACACACACATACCCAGCAACTCTGCCTCATTCTGAAATCTACTCTAACTATATGTCATTGGAAAAGTACAGAGAGTGATCCAGTGAGTTTTGGGTCTAAAGAACCTAAAAAAAGTGTGGCACAGTACAGAGAAATTAACTTCTTGTAAAATAGAAAGAAATGTAATACTTATTTCATCTACATCTACAAGGAAAGCCATTACTATAGGATAAATATTAATTTGAAATGTAGGTTGACAGTTTAACATCCTGGGAAAATTCTAAATTTCAAACAACTTGGGAATAATTATAAAAAAGTGCTGTTGTCTTCGTGATCATCATTGTCATCATCAGGAATGAAAGGCAAATCATGCAGTAAAAGGTTTTTATGTAGCTATGGACAGAAAAAATGATAATACCACTAATTCACTGAGATTCATGAAGTTATGTGGAACTCATGCTTTTGCAACTTCTGTTTAGATACTAAGAGATAGAAACATTTTCTGAAGCAATGGAAAGATTTCTTTACCTTTGTAACAGAAACTTTGCCTGGTATATATCAACTGTCTGCCAGAGTCTGTAGATTCTGTAGTACAAGAGACAGGGATGAAATACTTTCATGTTCTATTCACAAGCAAGAGAGTATTGGTGGAGAAACAGTGACTTTGCTTTATTTGAAACTAAACTTTTATCCTGTTTTCACTAGGATTCCTATGCATGGATTTTAATTTTGACATATTTGATGAATATCAGAAAGATAAGCTTATGAATACAAATCATGCTGGTGACAACTAAACATGCCACATATACCAATATAGGAAACATGTCTAGTTAGGTTTTACCAGTTGGAAGAACAAGAATTCAGTTATTTTAACTACTAGAAACAACAAACTAAAGGTAATCAAGCAGAATCAACAGAACTCCAAGTTAAGTGCCATGTTTATGTTCTAAGACTAACTGAGCAAATCATCCTGTATTTGGATGGGGGAGGGAGGGAAGACCCGCTTAGATAGCAGCTTCCATAGGAAAATAATCCAAGACTTTTAGTCAATTGAAGGCTTAATATCAACTAAAAATATGACCTGGTTACTGAAGATGTAACATAAACTTATGCTGAAGGGTCTCGGGAACCTAAATGTCAGCTGGACCTTCCTACTCACAGGGGGCTGCGAAATGAGGCTGTAATGCCAGTTCTTCAGCCTGGGGTTACAGGCTAATCCCTGCCCTGATGTCTGAGGGTTTCTTATGGTTTACTTCCATCTCCTCCATGTTCCTGCTCTTCCTACATAGTCTCTTGTTCCCCTTTGGTATCTTGACGATAACTCAGCTCCCTCATTGACTCCCCCCCAAAATGGATTTATATTGAGCATATTGAAATGCTAAACACTGTATATGGAGGATTGAGAGGGATGTGGCGTCATCACACTTAGGAGCAGGTGGCTTCCACCATTTCTGTCCTCACCCTCTTCCATTCCAAGACAATGAGCAAATGGCTGTCCTTGTTTCACACCCAGTAATTTTGTACACACCAAAACCCCTTGGGTGCTCAGCTTCCACCTCCAGAGGCACCTGGCTAGGCAGAACTCTCCATCTTATTATTTATTTTGATGCCCCTATGTTGGCGTAACCACACTGAGAGTAGCAGGGGCAGTTCTCTGAGGTCACTGACCCCTATGGAGAGTACCAAGACAGAAAAGAAGGTGACAATGCAGCAGAAACCAGCAAGGGAGCAGCGATGTGCTAGCACCTTCCTTCACCAAGGAGTGTAGGACCTCACTGCATGTCATTCCCTCTTACACAGGCCAGTTCTCTAGAGTAGGTCCAAGAGGTGGCACCCACTTCTGCTTAAACAGCCTGCTGGCTCCAGTTCAGTCTGAAGCAATGTCCAAGTGGGAAATAACAGTTCATTTCAAATTTCTGAAGGTAATTATGGGAATGAGGGTGGAGATTTATTCTCTATTACATCAGAGAGAAGTTCTAGGGCCTATCAGAAAGAATGAGCCAATAAACTCAGCCCCCTAACAGTGGAAATGACTTCCTTCCAACCTTGTGGTGGTCCGTGAAGAAGAGTGATTTGATATAGTTTATTCAATCTTAACAATAATGAATTTTGAGGACTAGCATTAAGAGATTCCTAATTCAACTGAAATAGTCTACGAAATCTTGTTTATATGGTAGATAGCAAATGTTGTGCAGGCCACCCTGCAACAAGGCAAATGCTTCCCAAAAGAGAAATATTTCAATACAATGCATTTTTGTCACCTATATGTCATACAAGGGATTCTATCTTTTTCTTTTGAACTTCTAGTTCTGTGATTCTGCTGCTGTGAAGAGTCCCATAAATCGAAGTCACTATTTCTCCACTAACACTCTCTTGCTTGTGAATAGAACATGAAAGTATTTCATCCCTGTCTCTTGTACTACAGAATCTACAGACTCTGGCAGACAGTTGATGTATACCAGGCAAAGTTTCTGTTACAAAGGTAAAGAAATCTTTCCATTGGTTCAGAAAATGTTTCTAACTTTTAGTATCTCAACAGAAGATGCAAAAGCATGAGTTCCACATAACTTCATGAATCTCAATGAATTAATGGTACTATCGTTCTTTTTGTCCATATCTATATAAATATCTTTCACTGTGAGATTTGCCTTTCATTCCTGATGATGACAATGATGATGATGAAGACAACAACACCTAGTCTATAGCAAGAGAGAACTTATTCTCTGCTAGGATCTGTGTCAAGTGCCATACCATTATTAGAATGTAGGTACTGTTTAATTTCCCTTTTACAGAAAAAGAAACTGAGGCCTGAGGTTAACTGACTTGCTTAAAGACATCAAGTTGGTAAGTGCCACCTAGTATTTGAATTTTAGTCCCCAGACTCTAAAGCCCACTGTTCCAGCCACTGCTCTATAATGCCATCAGTATGGTACTTCTTAGAACACAAACTTAAAATATTACCACTGTATTCATTCACTGTCATTTTCAAAACTATAACATTTTTTAAATGACACATTAGTGATTGAAATAAAGTAAGCTGCCTCAGCCTATCACAAATGTTCCTTCATCTGTGAAGGATTTCCTTATTTTCTTTCCACCTAGATCTGCCCTTTTCCTCATTTATCCTAACTCTTTGTTCGTGCCTCACTCCAAGTAATTAATCACTTCCTGACTTATTCAAGAAATAAGACATCTACACATGCAACCCTTGTGCAAGAAAAAATAACTACTATTGGGACAGAAATGGAATGTTTTGAAGCATGTAAAGCCTTGCACATTGTCAATATCAACAAATACATGCAGAAAACACATTAAATCCATAGACATGCTTAGTCCTCTGATTATACTACAATGAGCTCCACTCTACCCAAGATCAAAGAATTGGATAACTGAGAGAAGTCATACAGATGAAACAGACTGACACTTATTTTGTAAATGAAATCATTAGAACCGAGAAGTTCTAGTGCCCAAGATCACACAGCTGGTACTCAGGGAGGCAAACACTTTGAGTTAGAATCTGCTCATGGCATCTACATTTCCTTTGTACATGGAAGCAAGAACTTTACCTTTGTTCCAGTGAGAAGGAAAGGAGAGGAAAATTCATTGAAAAACTTACGCTGGCAAGCACGGTTGTCATCAAGATAGTGCCCAGGGAAGCAAATGGTGCTGCAGGTGCCAATGTGCGTGAGAACAAGACTGGAGTCACATGAGGAGCAGAAGAAAGGTCCTCCACCATGGCAGGTTCTACAGGAGGAGTGACATCCTGCAAAGGGAAAGTGACACAGACAGACCATGAAGCCAGACTCCCTCCTAACACACATCCCACATGCTGGTAACAAAGACCCCAACAGAGAACACACTAGCTGGGCTTCCTCTCTTTGGGTACTTCCAACCTTCTTGGCTATGCCCCCCCAAAAAAACCTTATAGGCACCCCCAGATCCAACCCCAGTGCTTACTCACTTTTACAAGCTCCCCTCTCTGCATAGTATCCAGAGGGGCAGTGGGGAACACAGTGGTCCCCGAACAATAGGTGCCGAGCTTTCTGGCATCTCAGACAGATGCTACCAGTGTCATGGAGATCAGCTGTGCAGTGCTGGCACAGAGGATGGCAGTCTGCAGAGGGTGGGAGGAGAGAAAGAAGGCATTGATGCTCGTGAGCATAGAGTCTAATCGGGACTTCAGTTACCAGCACTGCAGCATAGACAGCTGGAGAAACAGCCCAGAAGCAGTAGACATCAGGAATAAATAAATAAATAAATCGTGTGTTTGAGGTTTTTAGCAAATGGCTAGGCCCAGAACAGCGATTGAGTTTTTCTCTCTTTCCAACTGAATGACCCCCAAGTAGTGAGGCACCATGTGACAGGTATTTGCTGGGGGGAGAGAAAGAACTGTTGGACCAAGAGAAGCAGGGAGATCAACACTCTCAATGTCTCTCCCAAGGCCTAGACCACTCGAGGGCAGTGTGTCCCCATCCACTGTGCTCCCCAGCTCTCTGCATGACCCCTTCTCCATGTGGCCGATGACAGCTGGCACACCAGTCAGACTTCAGCATGGGGGAACTGTGATTCATAGATAACTGGATTGAATTGCTGAAACATTTTAGTCTTTAACTAGAGATAAAGTTATAAAGGAAAGGTTGTGAGTTGAAAAATCATTTTTATGACCTGCTACATAGTTCACAGCAGTTCCGTCATACCAACTGTGATTAAAGCTATAAACCAAATGATTGTGCAGCCTGCACCTCTTGTTCTTGCTCATATAATAGTCATCCTTTAATAAAGAGCTTCATTGTATTCAGCTTTCATTGGGGTTGAACACTTCCTCTGTTCTGCTTTCAAGTGGTAATTACCTCATGTTTCATTCACCATCCTTCATCCCAAAGGCAAAAGAAAAAAACCTCCAAATCCTGAACTACCCACCAACATGAAAAAAGGAGTAAGGACCTAGGAAAAGGGAAGGCAGGGTTCTCTCTGGTTATGAGCTCTTTCCACCTGTGCCTATAGGATTCAAGTGCTTGACTGCACTTACTAAAGTACCACTCAGGGTCCAGATTTGTCTTGTTTCACCTGACAGCTTTGCAGATACAGACTGTGATTTCCAGCTATGTGGCCACTAAAAAATTCCATGCCAGCAGCACAGATTGCCTGCCCCGATTCCTGGTAAAACAGGTCTTTCTCCCATACTCTTGCTGATAATTCTTAATTGCTGATCATCTATACACATTCCCTGTATAAGAAGCAAATATCCACTTCTATCCCCAGGCACCCCCTCCTTGGCACAAGAACCACCCCAGAGGTGAAGCCCAAAAGTCCTCCTCAAAAATGCTAACTCTCCTAGCAGCACACAAACTAAAGCCCCTGACCTTTCTCTGAACCTTGGGAGTTTCAAATTGCAGGCAACCTCTTGCCAATATCAGAGACAATTCATGATATCCTAAGAGACAAATTAATCCTCATTACAGCCCTTCAGTAAGTTATGAAGGAAATGATAACTGTACTGAGGGAAATGAGGAGGCCGCTTTCCCTCCATGGTGGTGTATAATATCCACCTCATACCAGGTAAGCACTTCGTTCTTTTTCCCATGAGTATGAAAGTACAATCATAGATGTACAAACGGAAATCTGAATACTTTGAAAAGTTGCTAGAACAAAGGTAATAGTGTTTTATGAATGCCTTGGTGAGTGGGTAATGTCACAATGGGAGGCCTATGGACACTATGGAGTCAAGGCTCCATTCTGGGAAAAGCCATGGCCTCTTCATCCTCAGCACAACTGTGTGCAGAACATCTGGCCTTAGGCATGCACTGACAGGATCTGTAAGTGTTCAGGGCTGCAAAGAGTAGCTGCATGCAAGCAAGGCTTTCTCTAGTGTGCAATTAGAGAAAGGAAAGGGAATAATCACCAAGCGCAGTCTTTGAAGAGAAGCTAAGCAAATCTCTGTAGTATTTTGTGGGTGTCATAAATAAGTGTTTATGGATTTGTCTGATCTTTCTCGGGCTCTCTAGAAGCTGTTTAAGAGTCTGATGTGTATTAATTATGTCTAAAGGAAGCTATGATTGGGGGGTGGAGATTCCTTCCCACTCTCCATGCAGTCACTGTAAACCCTCACTACTCTTCACAGAGTACCACTCCACCCTGCCCATCCCGACCCGTATAGCAGGGGGTCTCATCTACTTCCCTCAGCCATTCTGCACATGCTCCTTCTATTCATTCCTTTTGGTCAAACATCTACCTTTACCATTCTGCCTTCATTTTCTCCCATCTCACAGAGTTTTTCACCTATGTCGTTGATCCTATTCTTGGCATTATTCCATCTTTTCTTCCTCATGCCTTTACTGTCCCCTCGACTCCAACCTCCAAAATGCTTCTCACTACCTCCTGCTTCCAGAGCTTTTCTCTACATGTGCCTCATCTCCTGCCTTTCCTTTAGCACCCAACTTCTTCACCTTTCTAACTCCCCACATCTCTGTAATCTGCTTCAGACTCCACAATTCTAGAACAGTAATATCCTAAAAAGGTCTACGATGGATGTAAATGACCAAATCCTTATCCTACCCGAATATCTGTAACACATGGCACTTCTGACCAGTCCTCATCCTGGAACTCCTCCCTCTTAGCATAATTTTTTCTAGTGTTTATATTCATGGATCTTCTATCTTTGCCTCCAACTAACTAATAAATACAAGAGTTTCCTACAACCCTCAACTTCTGTCCTCCTAACCAAGTCTCTGGATGTTTTAAACATGGCTGGATATACAGACAGCTACCAGAGCCCAGCAGAAAGAGTTCAAGAGTTGCAGAGACTGAAAACATTCAAGGTCTATGCTTCCTTCCTGGCTTCATGTTAAAACAGCCATAAGAAGACACAGATCAGGGCTACAGATATACCTCAGTGGTAAAGGGTATGCTTATCATCCTTGATTCCCGCCCCCCACACACACACAGAAAGAGAGAGAGAGAGAGAGAGAGAGAGAGAGAGAAGACATCAGTCAATTCCCAGACATACCACATTACCACATGATAGAGTGAGGACCCAGAGGCAAAGAAGAAATCAATAAGTAACATCTGAAAACATAAAAGCGTCAACTGCCAGTTGTCCAATGCATCACATTAATCCAACTTAGTTTACAGTTCTCCTTTACATGGGAGGTTGTTATAACTGCTTGAATCTGGAAAGCTGGACTTTCTAACTGTTTTTTGTTCACCATGTGTATTTATTCTGTGGCTTAAAAAGTCATACTGAACATCTTATCCCATGAATAAATTCATTCCAAAGCAACAATCTGAGGGGGTTCCCACATTAGTCCATTCATGCAAGTACCTCTTTCATACAAACCCCCAACAGAAGACCATTTAAATAAATATGCTCTGGAATTCTGCTGTGAAGGTTAGTTGATTGATTTTTATTAAACCAAGGCAAAAGGAATAATAAATTCCCAAAACCTAGGAAATACCTTTGTTTCAGAGGCTCGAAGTCAAAATCTCTTTGAGGGAAAGAATTCCTTGGGAGATCTCAAAATGAGTAATGAGACCAGGGAAAGAAGGCAGAAACCAGAGCAACAAGAGCCTAAGCACTAATACCAACGCTTTGACTTACAACAGAAAAGTATAGTCCCATAGGGCAGAGCACAGAACTATGGCATGACAGGCTACAAGTGGCCAGTCCCACTGGCTGCCACCTGCCAGCTAGCTTCAGGCTCAGCCTGGGGGCTGCTGTGATCTACACAGGAGAAGGTCCAATTACAATTCAGACAGGCATTATAAGGTTTTATTTTTCTGAATGCAAAGTAATCCATGGAAGAAAATATGAGAAATATTTTATGCAGTATAAATAAACATAAAAATCACACTAGAAATGACTTTCAGAGTAACTACTAACATATACATGTTTTACTTTTAGTTCTTTTTCTATATAATTTTTTATATATAGATTTTTACATATGAGATTATATTAAATGTGGGCATATAGTAGCTTTTTTACTCAATACCATCATTTCCACATATCATTAGAGACTTTGTACACATCATTTTTAGGGACTATATAATATTTCATATTGAGTAAACAAACAAAAGAGGCTATTTTTTCTTGTAGTGTGAACATTTATTTCCAATTTGTCCCCACTTTTCTAATTAAGGCTACAATAAAATCTTTGTGCATAAATCTTTGTCTGTATTCCAGATTATTTCTTAAAGGACAATGTCAAAAGAGTACAATTAATAATACCATTACAGTTTATACTAATGGAGCTCTGGATACATGTTAGGCACTATAAACTATAAATGCACAATCTCATCTGAAGAGATGAAGTATACAATGTTGTTATCCCCTTTTTATAAATGAAGAAACTGAGGCTCTGAGGGTTTAAGCCATTTGCTCACACATGCTATACCCAGGCTGAGTCTAGAGCACAAACCTTTCACCTCCATTGGCATGAAAAGCAATGGAAAATTCCTACTAGGTACCACGAATTTACTTCCAGACAGTTGTATCAATTTATATTTCCAAGAACCACTCATGAGACTATTTCATCATAACTTTCCCGGAACTAAGAAATATAAAAATAAATAAAACAATCTTGGCCAACGTGATGGGTGAAACTGGTGTTAAATTGATCATTGTTTTAATTTGTATGTTTTAAATGATAAGTGAGGTCAAGTATTTAAAAGAACCTTTCTTTTTTCTTTTAAATAACAAAATATTTAAATGGCTACTACATTTACACAGCTTTCAACATGTCAGGGGAAATGACCCTGAATTATAATCCAATAGTTAATATGTGTAACCAAATAATAATCTGAAGTATCAACCATTAAGCTCTTTCCTCACCCACTGGGACCATTCCTCATTGGACTAGGAAGCAGAGGGTCATTATGTGCTCCCTGAGAAAGTTATCAAAATCTGACCTACAAAGATACCAAATTTGTGAAGCATGAGGCACAGGTAAAAGATAGAAGAAGAAAAAAAAATACGCATTGTAACTCTAAGCAGATACTTTAAAGCAACTGAGGCCAACAGGAGAAGGGGACCAGAAACTAGAGAAA